AGTAGTAGTAGTAGTAGTAGTAGTAGTTAGTAGTAGTAGTAGTAGTAGTAGTAGTAGTAGTAGTAGTAGTAGTAGTAGTAGTGTAGTCGTAGTAGTAGTAGTAGTAGTAGTAGTAGTAGTAGTAGTAGTAGTAGTAGTAGTAGTAGTAGTAGTAGTAGTAACAGTAGCAGGAGCGTTTCTTCTCCCCCCTCTTTCCCTGATTTTTCTCGAGGGCGGGGAGAACTGACCTTCGCTGTGTTTCTCCCTTTGGGAGGAGGGTCAAGAGAGGTGACTTGTACCGTTTGCCCCTCCCCCCCTGACCTGTCCAGTTCTCTTGGCACCCCTCCTCCCCCCTCCTCCCGGGAACAGGGCCAAGAGAATTGACCTGTACTGTTTTCTTCCTTCGCGCTTCATTGTTGCGCCGACGATTACGTCGGGACAGTAAAGCAATGGTCAGGGGACGCTGTTGCCACCATTTCTTTTAATCATTGTGGAGGGTGTTTTTATTTTTTTTTCATTTTTCGCACGAAATATTTCGTGTAACTCGAGGAAGCACTTAAGAATCCCCCCCCATTCGGCGAAACGATTACATTCCCCGCGCCCGAGGAGGAGAATTGGCCAAATCGCTTCAGACATCCTCAAATTTCTTCAAAGAGTTAGCCAAATCGCCTAAGACATCCTCACATTTCTTTGTAGAATTGCCCAAATCGCGTGAGACAGCCTTACGTTTCTTATAGAATTGACCAAATAGCTTCAGACATCCTTACATTTCTTATAGAATTGACCAGATCGCCTGAGACTGCTCACATTTCTGAGTAGAATTTGCGAAATCGCCTGAGACATCCTCACATTTCTTTATAGAATTTGCCCAAACGCTCAGACATCCTTTTTTTATATAAAATTGACAAAATCGCTTGAGACATCCTCGCATTTCTTATAGAATTGATTAAATCGCCTGAGACAACCTGACGTGTCTTTATAGAATCGGCCAAATCGCTTGAGACGTCCTGACATGTCTTTGCAGAATTGGCCAACTCGCTTGAGACACCCTTGTATTGCTTAAAGAGTTGGCCAAATCGCCGAAGACATCCTCACGCTTCTTTGTAGAATTGCCCACATCGCGTGAGACATCTTGACATATCTTAGTAGTGGTAGTAGTAGTAGTAGTAGTAGTAGTAGTAGTAGTAGTAGTAGTAGTAGTAGTAATAGTAATAGTAGTAGTAGTAGTAGTAGTAGTAGTGGTCGTCGTCGTAGTAGCCATCGTCGTCGTCGTATTCGTCGTTGTCGTCGTCGTAGTCGTAGTCGTTCTCGTACTCGTACTATTCGTAATAGCGCTAGGCTTGATGAGAATTTCATGGAACGCTTATGTGTACAATCAGTTGGGGGACCCCGCCTCCCGTTTTCAAGATTTGTTTCAGCTTTCACTTAGCGTGGAACCTAGCGTCGAAGCTCTGCCCAGAAAGCGATACACGCTATACATAGATACCTGACCGTACATGTGATGGGTGCGTGACGCTAATGCTACGAAGTGAGAGCCGGCCTGTCAGCTCCGGCCTGACAGAGCAGATGTGTTGGCCGAGTATTTCGAAGGCGTTCAATGGCAAGTTCGCTTTCCAGAAAGCACTCCGGAAAGCTGTTGGGCCCGATGGTGCACCGTCTAATTTTTGGAAAACGTTGGGGTCGGACCTGGAAGTGTTTGCAATTGCGCTTCGCTTGTGCCAACGGTGCAAGGACAACCATCCATACCCGCATGTTTGAGGCGTGCGAACGTGCTTATCCTATCCAAGACAAGGCACCATCACTCTTCCAGGAAGCTGCAGGCCAACTTCGTTGTTCCAAATTTGGTATACATCTCTTGAGTCCATATTGCACCAGCGTTTGCTTCGAGGTGGAGCTGAATCCAATATGCTGGTATCGCAATTTGGGTTTCGCCCTGGGCATGGGACGGCCGACGCTCGCAGGGTGGTCCCGCGCATGGTTGACGCGGCGCATACTGACAGGAATGGTGGCCTTATGTTGTGTTTTGTGGTTTGGGCTGAAACTTTGGACAAACTGAAACCATCAAGTATTCGTGGCGCTCTACAACGCCTTTGGTTTCCCTCGGGCATGGGATCTATGATGTAAGAACTTGTAAGCAAGGCGCTATTCCATGATCCATGGAACACACCAGAACTTCCGAGGAACGACAGCACCGGGCCGGCATCGCGCAGAGGTGTTCTCTTTTCTCATATTTGTCTATTGAAGTACAGTCGGTTTTGATGCACGATGTTTCAAAGACGATCAATTCCGATGATAACCCCGCTTACGTGGTGATAAGGAACATACGATATGCAGACGATACGCTCCTGGCCTCGCAAAGCAAGACGGATGTCCAGAAAACGTTGGATGATCTTGTGGTGGAGTGGCGTAAATATGGTCCCGAGCTTAACTGGACCAAAGCACTCCACATTCAAATTGCTACCAATGGCTCCGTTGTCTAGCCTGATGGCGGTCGTACCACAGCCGCCCAGGAAGTGGTCTATTTGGGACAGATGATCACTTGCGGTGGCAAAGGAATTCCGGAAGTCACCTGCCGCTCGCGGGAAGCGCATGGCATTTTCACCAAGGTGGCAACGATATGGTCGCACGCCGCGGTTGGGTGGAAGCAGAGCAAACAAACATACGAACGTGTTGTTCTGAGCATTTTAGTGTATTCACGTGAATCGCTGCGAGTGCTCAAGTCAGACAATTGCAGGTCCGACGCATTTCATTGTCGCTGCCTGCGGCGCATCTTTGGCACGTCGCACTCTTATCTGTCGCGCGTGGATAACGTGGACGTCGTGGGCAGAGTTTGCGTCAAACCTCTTTTCCATATTTCGCTTGGATGACACAAAAAGTTGCATCTCGAATCGAGGCAAGCGGGTTTTCATCTTTAGTACGCATTTGCTCATGTAATCCCGAAGGAACTCTTGAAAACTGGGCGGTGCACCAGGGGCGCGGCCGACCCAGGCAGCCTTGGGCGACCGAAGTTTACAAGACAGCGAAGCATATCTGAGGTGTCCTTGTTTTGTCCTCCATTTCCTCTCCCTCCTCTGTCTCGCTTGTCGTTCCCCCGTGCAGTTGCCAAGCTCGCGCTCTGCTGCCCGCGCGTCCCTCCGGATGCCGCCTTAGCGGTGGTAGGGGACACCATTGGTTGATAGTGTATTGAAGGGTGGAAGCGTTGGAAAACCTCGGTTCCCATGCCTGATATCACCCGACGGCAAGCAGTTGCAATCCAGATTATATGCTCCACGTTTGAAAGGGAGGAGGAGGACGGGGGGTGAAGAGAGGGGGACAGGAAGAGATGGTGGAAGTGGCGGGCGAGGGCGGAGGCGGGAGGAAACGCAGGAGGACGGGGCGCAGATCCCGAACCATTTTGACTCAGCCGCCCGCGGCGGGCACTTTCCACTGGCTCGAGCTGGCTTCTCGCTTGGCCCAGGCTTCTGGAGGTGTCTAAGTGCGCGCCTGAGATGGCACGGGAGGGCATGGAAAAGTCACGCCCAATGGGTGCGATTCCGCGTCGCACGGTAGCCGAGCGTCGGGTGCGCCGAAGGTGGGCCCGCTGGTCGGCCGATTGGGCGATCCCGCGCCCGACCGATCAGCCGAAGGTGCAGAACGCCAACCTGGACTATGAGTCCTGGCTGTCTGCGGGGCCGCCGCCGGGAGATCGCATGCTGGCACTTGCACCCGCCCTTGTCGAACTGCTCTACGGATGTGCCCCATATCATGTTGCGATTATCTGGAGGAACGTGGCGTTACGTGCTGCGGTGCGGCCTGGCGTTCGAATTTCGATGGCCACGGTGGCGGAGCTCTAACAGATGCAGAAGGGATCTCGCCTGCCTCTACAGTTGCTGCTCGGTCTATACGCGGCCCCGGTCATCCCCTGCGGAGTGTGGGAGCCCATCGAGCGCAGCGCCGACTTGCCAGGGTGCGAGGCCACTGCTGTGCAGTATCCTTTCATGGTGTCCCACCCTTCCACAAGCGATGGTTCCGAGAGCGGGGTAGAGCCAGTGCCATCGGTGCAATGCCGCGCCGGTAAGAGGCCGTGCGGAGGCGAAGCCAACTCCAGCAGGTGCCGCGCATCCTGGACTCAGGCGCACGTGCGGAGCTGTGGGTTACAGTTCTTTGATGATTGACTCGTGCGAGAGCGAGGCGCTGACTGAGGGAGCGGCGGCCCCGCGCGGACGCACCGAAACCGGGCAGTGCGCAGCGAGGGGCGAATTCAACATTGTTTGTCGCTGTTTCTGCCGATGGCCTCTGCAGATCTTCGCGCGAGTCCGACCAAACAGGCTATGCTTAGCGTTTCAGTTTGGTTTGGATGGCAGCGCAGGAATGTACTATCACATTTGGTATCCTTGGCATTATTGAGTGTTGTTGGCCAGCGTGGCACCAGATGATCAGCTGATTTTGCAGCTTTACTGCGGCGGGCCGTTTGTGCACCACTGCGTGTGTCCCACTGTGTAACCAGCCCGGCACATGCGCAACACGTTCTGACATGGGGGTGTCGCGCTGCTTCCGCGGCAGGCGTACGTCATTAGAAGGTATGTTCTTTCCAATGTTCAGGACTTATGTTCCTTGGGATTCAGCGGTGCACGCTGTGTCATTCAGAGCAACCCCTTCGGTCATCAATGCGAGTAGGGCGAAGAGAAAGCCACTTCAAAAGACGGGGGCCCAGAAGCGGGGAATGGCATAAGCATCGAAGTTCTCAGGTCCGAGTGAATTTTTCGGATCGGCGCTGGACCCCTTTTGGTGGTGCGTGGAACGCGCCAGGGACCGCGCCGGGGACGCCGCGGGGGGGGCCCAGCGCCAATCCCTGGAATCCGCGTGGACCTCCGAGGTTCGATGTTTATGCCATTGTTTGTTCCCGAGGAGGAGGAGGAGGAGGAGGAGGAGGAGGAGGAGGAGGAGGAAAACGGGGGACTGGGTGGAAAAAAAGAAAAAGACAGGAGGTTCGGCCCCGTCCCCGCCCACCTTGCCGCCCACACTGGTGCCGGGGCCCGCAGGAAGGAGTCGACCTTGCAGCCGACGCAGGCGCGCGCGCAGCGGTTTGCTGCCCTACCCGCGGCATGCTCTGTTCGCACAGACCTCTTTCCAAAGGGTGTTCGCGGTCTGGACGGTTCGTTTGCGTCGCGGCTGGTTGCGTTCGTTTGGTTCGGTACGGTCGGTTGTTCAAGTGGCTGAATTACTCCTTCCTGCCGACCCTCAGAAGCAGTCCGAGCTTGCGATTATCGTGGAAGTTGCTCAGCGGCCTTCGCCCCAATCCGCCATCGTGCCTGGGCTGTGGGTCAGGAGTTCTTTGGATTAGTATGAAGGTCTCTTGGGATGCCTTTATGGACCTTCTTGGGATGCTCTTGGATGCATGTGGGAAGCCCTTTGGAGCCTCTTGGGGGCCTGTCGAGGGTTTCTTGGGGGCGTTTCGGAGGCCTCTTGGGTCCTCTTGGGGGCGCCTCGGGGGCGTTTGGGTGGCTCTTGGGGCCATCTCGGGGTAAACGCTCTAGGGGGAAAACGCTCGAAATATAAGTTCGTATTCCCCCTCTTGGGGTCTTTTGGTGCCTTTGGGGGGTTTTCTTGGGCCGTGATGGGGGCTCCTGGGGCCGTGTCAGGGCCCTCTTGGGCCGTTTGGGGGCCTCCTTGGGGGCCGTGTCGGCCGTCTTGGGACGAGATTGGGGACGTTTTGGATGCTGCCAGCAAGGAAAAGGTGAGCATGCTAAACATTGCAGCGTTCCAAGGAACGGGGCGATGTTTGCCTTTTCAAGCTTCTTCTGGCGGTCTTTAGGAGTCCTCTTGGGCCGTTTTGGGAGCCTAGTGGGCCGTCTCGAAACATCTTGGACCGTAGAGGGGCTACCTGTAGAGCCGTCTGAACGCTCTTTTAGATTGTCGTGGCGCTGGGCCTTTCGAGCAGTCTTGCGCTTGTTTGGGGCCCCAGTTGCCCTGGGAAGGCGATGGCAAGCTCGTAGGGACCCCCCTCCCAGAATCGGATTTTGGACTCCAGGAGAGGGGGAAAGTGAGATGGGGACAGCCAATCATCTCGCACGCCTTTTCACCCCTGGCAAGCGGGGGTCCGCGGATTTTCTGCCGTTGCCGTGTCGCTTCGCCCTTCTCGGCTGCATGCGTTCTGTCGATTTTGGTCGAGTTCGGTTTCTTTGTCGGTTCGGTATGTTTTCGGTTTTGCTGTCGCCGTGAACGGCATGATCTTTCCTCTCGCCCTAGTGCCGACCGGGTTTACACACATCCACCCCCTGGGCCAACCGATGTCCCAGGGCACCAGGGCGTGGTGGCTCGACGACGAGGATACTGCATGAACATAGATTGGTGGAGTTCCACGCGGAGTTCCACAAATTTAAGTGTATGCTGTGTTTGCCTGTCGCAGGTTGGTTCGTGTAGTAGTCCCAGTTGTCCTGGCGACCTGTTGATTCGCACAGTGGTCGAGGCCGAGTCGTGTGAAGTTTTGTGGGCGCCCCCCCCTTTCTCACAAAAATTGGTGTATGTTGTCTCTGTAAGCACCTGGGCACGAGGCGTGGTGGTTTAGGATCTGTGTAGGCATACGGACGTCCAGGGATGTCCAGGGCGCCCTTGGGGGGGGGGGGGGGGGGGCGGCGTACAAAACCTGCCGCTTCGATTGCGTACAAACGTTAACTCCGTTCCACACGTCTGTCTTTAGTGCGAGCATGCCCGCGCCGTTGCGCGCGTTTGGCTCAATAAATTCGTCAGGATAGGGCGCGCTTGCGTCTTGGAGGAAGTAGGTGCGCGTACTTCTCCCCCTTAGCGCGTCACGGAAATAGCAATGTCGTATGATTTCGTGAATGGCCCGTCCATCAACAAGATCCTAAAAAAGGGAACCCCTGAGCTAGGACACCAGAGTAAGGACAATGCTCGGGCGCCAGACACCAACGTAACATCTCGCAGATAATTCGTTACCAACCCAGGGAATGAAGGAATACCAACACAATGGCAAGCGTCATGAGTCACGAATCACGTCATGAATCACGCCACGACAGGAGCAATATCTTGACAGCAAGTATCAAAAAATATCAAAGGCGTCACCGCCGCCCCCTGCCCTTTCGGAAGCGCCTATGTGGCCGAACGTTGAGGCCAGAGCCCTGCCAAGCTATCGGGCCACATGTTCCCCGAATCGATTTGGAAAGCCTTCGGGGAACACGTGGGGGACTACGGGGAAGAGGAGGAGAGTGAGGAATGGGCGTGTTCGGGGCCTCTTGGGGTCTTTTGTGGGCTTTTTTGGAGGCGTCTTGGGGCCAGCTGGCCGAAGGTTGGGTCAGATCCTTGCCAATCTGTCGGAACGAGTGTTCCCCGAATTGGTTTTGCAAGCTTTCGGGGAACACGTGGAGGAGGATGGGGAAGAGGAGGAGAGTGAGGACAAAGGGGAAGGGAGGAAGAGTCCTCTTTCGAGCCTCTTGAGGCACTCTGAGGCTCAATTGGGCCATCTTCTCGGTCTTGGAGGCATTTAAGGACCGTTATGGAGGCCAAATTGGAGTGATCTTGGGCTCTCTTGGTGCCATCTTGGCCATCTCGGACGCATCTTGGAGGCCATCTTGCGCCATATTGGCCGTCTTGGAGACCATCTTCAGAAGTCTTGGGTACATCTTGGGGCCATCTTCGCCGTCTTGGAGGCCATCTTGGCCGTCTTGGAGGCATCTTGAAGGTCATCTTGGCCGTCTGGAGACCATTTTGGACCCTTTCGGGCCTTCCTGGAGGACGTCTTGGAGGGCTCTTGGGCTATCTTGGAGGCCTCTTGCGGGCCTTTGGGGCAGTCTAAGGCAATCTTGCGGCCATCTGGGGCCGTCTTGGGTGCATCTTGGGGCCATCTTCGCTGTCTTGGAGGCCTTCTTGGCCGTCTTGGAGGCATCATTGGAGGCCATCTTGGCCGTCTTGGAGGACATCTTCGACGTCTTCGGGGCCATTTTGGGCAGTCTTGGGCTCTTCTTGGGGCCCTCTTGGGTGCCTCTTGGGCTAACATCGGGCCATCTTTAAGGCCTCTTTGGCGCTCTTGGGACGAGCTTGGGGGCCTCTTGGGCCGTCTTGGGCCATCTGAGAGCTGATAAGAAGAAAATGCCAACATCCTTCAAACCCCTAAAGACAATCAATGACTTTTCCCTCTTTCGGGCTTTCCTGCTGGAGGATGTCTTGGAGGCCTCTTGGGGGCCTCTTTGCCAGTCTTAGGCCATCTTGGAGCCATCTTGGGCTGTCTTGGAGGCTTCTTGGACGAACTTGGAGGCATCTTGGACTCTCTCGGGCCGTCTTGGAAGCCGTCTTGGACCATCTTTGGCGACTTGGAGGCCATCTTGGGTTAACGCGACCATCTTGGAGGCCATCTTGAGCCGTCTTGGAGAATTATTTGCGGTCGTTGAGGTGGTTGCGGGGCCTTTCAAAGGCCCCGGCGAGATCGACCGAAGCCCCAGGGGGAGTTCTGTTTGAAAAGAACCAACACCAAAATCGAAAGGATCGAGTACGCCGGGCACCCTTGTGGCAAGCCAACAGGGGGCGGCGGATCCTAGTAGTGGCCTTCGGCCCATCCCGCCACTGTGCCTGGGTTGTGGGTCTGAGGCCTCTTGTATATGTGTTGGGGTGTCGTGGGGAGCCTCTCGGGGGCCTCCTCGAGGCGGTTTGGGCGACTCTTGGGGGCCTCTTGGGGCCTCGTGGGGTATCTTTTGGGCGTCTTGGAGGCCTCTTGGGCGCCTCTTGGGGCCTCTTATAGGAGATCCTGGCCTCGGGTGCGCGAATGTGGCCTAGTTTACGGGAGATCGCGGTCTCGGGGGCGCGAGTGTGGCGTGATGTAGGCGGGTTCGTGACGAATGTGCGTTAATTTATAGGGAATCGTGGTCTCGGAGGCGCGAATGCGGCGTGATTTACAAGAGACTGTAGCTTCGGGAGCGCGAAGGTTGCGTAATTTTCGGGTGTTGAATGTTTCAAGGGATCGTGGCTTCGGGGACGCGAATACAGCGTAATTTAGCAGAAAGCAAAACTGTAAGATTGGAAACTGGAAACTGGAACTGGCGCAGGGAGCAACAAACCTAAGCCTCGCAGCCTGATGGCCCCGCAAGGGGGCCGGTACATTTCGAACGCGGATTTGATGCGGCTCAGCCAGGACAGGGCCTCCTCCTTCTGTTATTCCTCCTCTTCCTCGTCCTCGTCCTCTTCCTCTTCTTCCTCCTCCGCCCCCTCCTCCTCGCCTTCTTCCTCCTTTTCCTTCCTCCTCCTCCTTGTCGGCCTCCTCCTCTTCCTCCTCCTCTTTCTCCTCCTTCCTCCTCCTTCTCGTCCTCTTCCTCCTCCTCCCGTTCTTCCTCCTTCCCCTTCCTCCTCCTCGTCGTCCTCTTTTTCACCCTCCTCCTGCTCCTGTTCCTTCTCTTCCTCGTCCTCCTACTCTCCTCCTCACCCTCTTCTTCTGCTGCTGCTGCTCCTTCTCCTCATCCTCCTCCTCCTCCCCTCCCCTCTTCCTCCTCCTCCTCTTCCTCCTCCTCCTCCTCCTCTTCCTCCTCCTCCCACTTCTTCCCCGATCGTCGTCTTCGCCGCCGTCGTCCTCATTCGGAGGAGTGGGGAGGATACTCAGGAATGCTTGTGATCCTTCGGGGGGCGCGTGTCCATACGTATCCCTTCTGAGCGTTCGGAGAGTTCGCCTGTATTTCATTTGATCACGATGATGCTGCAAGTTCTTGCGCAACTCTTCCCTTTCACGCGCTTCCCGTTCATGTCAGGAAAGGCTCCGAAGGCGGGTTTGATGCAGCGCAGCCAGGACAGGGCGATTGCAGCCCGTTTGTCGCCCCATGGTTTCACCCAGCCACGCTCGGACAGAGTTCGTGTTTCCACCGCCGCGCCCCCCTTCTTGCCCAGCGCATGAAGTTCGATCCGAAGTCGCGCCGCGCGTTGGGCAAGTCCGGCACGCTGCGGAGGAAGCAGCAGAAGTGGTTGCTCGACGACAAGCACGAGGAGATTGCTGTCAAGAAGGGGGGGGCGTTGGTAGAAAAGGGGTCCCGGAGGTTACGTGCGCAGTTCTCGCCCCCCCGGGGCCCTCCCCAGGCCCAGGGCGTCAAACACAAACAGCTCAGCGTGGAATTTTGCTTTTCCAAGGAAGTCCCCCAGGGTCCAGAACATTTTTTCGAACCGTTGGACAACTCATAAACATAAGCTTTCGGCGAATCGCGCGGATTTCTTGGATCTGCGCTTGGAGTCCCCTGGCAGCGCCTCTGGCGCCGCCCCTGGCGCGTTCCGCGCGCCAGGGAGGGAGGTCCATCGCGGATCTAAGAAATCCGTACGGAGTTCCGAAAGTTGATTTTTTGGCAGTTGTTCGGCCTTCCTATTCTACCATGAGTCCGTTTTCTCCTTCACGCTAAAGGAGGGGACGAAGGAGAGGAAAAAGGAGTAGGGATACTCTGAGTGAGGCTTTGCTGCGTTCGGACCTGCTGTCTGTACTGAGTCTCAATCGTGGAGCTGTTCGTTCAGTGAATTTGAGTGGCCCAATGCTGCCAGTAGAAAGAGCTGCTGCCGCTCCTACTCCTGCCCTCTCGCGCGCTTCAGCGAGAGTCCCTCGTCCTGCCCGAGGGGTCTCGACCAGACTTGATTCGAGCTCCACTGCCTCCAGGGTGCTGCTGCGTCCAGGGCCACATTGGCGCCCCCAGACACCTGGCATCGTCTTCTTCTCAACGTGGTTCCACAGATGCTTGGACCCACTCCCCTGGAACGGCTCCTCCCCCCTGAGTGGTCTTTTGCTTGTCTGGTTTCTCATCCCCAGCAGTTTTCGAAGGTCAAGGGGCCCAGGGGCCCAGCAAGGACTCCCGGATGCCAAACACAGCCAAATTCGTGCGATCGCGACGTGAGGATCTCAGGGGAAGGGGATGCGCCAGCCTCACCGGGAGGCCGACCCAGACCCAGCGGGCGCCGGACGGCCACCCCTGCCGCAGAGTCTGCGCGGCCACCCATGCCCGTGGCCGGTGTCAGCTGTGACCAGGGGGTGCGCCGCATCGAACTGATACATGGACGGATCTGAACGACGCGGGTGCGGGCAAGATTCCCACCCGCGCCGGGCATTCCACAAGGAATGACATATGACCTGGGCACTTGTTGTGGGTGCTCATCTCCGTGAGCTCTGGCGGGCCCGAGTTATGGACTTGTTTGCATCGGTTCGGCGAGACTGAGGGCTGGGCACAGAGCGGTCAGAGTCAGATCAGGCTGCCAGGGGGGAGGGAGGGATGAGGTGGGAAAAGGGAAGTGGATGGTATGGGAAGGCGGAGACGATCGCGATCATGATAGCAACTACGATTAGGGACGCCTAGCTGCCGCCGAAGAAGATGGCAACAAGCACCGATTGCGGAAGCTTGGACATTGATCAGACGACGGCGTGGAATGAGAAACCATGGTGATTGTGATGATGGTGATGATGATGATGATGATGATGATGATGATGATGATGATGATGATGATGAGCATCTCAGGCATGACGGCGACGATGGTTGGGACGATCGCGACAAGTTGCCAGGGTGCTATTACCACCACATCCATGTGGAGGGCAGTTATACCTGCAGTGTTCTGGGGCTCAGTATGCAGCCAGCTTGGGAACAGAGAGTGCAAGTGTGCGCACAACATAATTATTGAACAACGTATCGGCGATATTGAAGTGAATGGCCAGCGTTCTCGGAGAACAGTGCTTGCATCTACATTGCGTGCCGTTCGCCTCCAGTGGAACATTGTATGTTCAGGTAACGGTTCGTCTTTTTTCTGTGCGGGGTCGGCCACCAAAAGTGACACAGTGTACATGGAGTTTGCAGGTTGCAGTTGCTTGGTTTCCAATGCATGGATCATTTGCATATTTTTGTATCTCGGAACATGCCACATCGAATATGCGCCTCGCATTGTTAGTTGCATTTGGGTATTGTGCAGACGAGCTGATGCGGCAATATTGGCATCCGAAAGACCGCCCGCAGAAGCAAACGTTCCGCAGTAGCGTCGGAGAGGCGTTTGCGAACCAGAAGGATCTCGCCCGCCCCCTCGTTATTCTGAGGGGCAGCGTGTCAGGCAATGTGGTGACAGATGTAGGAGTGAGGAGGTGGGGAGGGAGCGCGCGGAGGATGTGATTCGTAGCGGCCACGGCCAAGATGAGGAAAGTGAGGGGAGGGGGAGGATGGTTGATCTTGCTGTAATGCTTTCTGTCGCACTGACCCGGAATGAGATTTCAACTGGTACTGCGGGTTTGAGAGTGGATAGTTTTCTCGATGTTCGTTACTTATGATCATTCGCTTGGGGCACATGCAAAGAACTTGAGACGTTGAGGCTGTTTCGGTGATTCCTGCTGTTCCCTGTTATGTTGAAAGGAGTTCGCAGCGCAATATTGGTAAGATCGCGAGGGCCCAATTGGATACCCAGGCCCCGCCAGCTATAGTGCATCGTGCTCGGTGATTCCTCTGTGGCACCTGGCCTGCATAACATATTTTGGCCCGAACGTGTCGTCTGAAGGCTGCCCAGGCTGCTCCTCCCCTACTCCTTGCAAATCGCCTACAAGGAGACGCATCTATTGGTTGGTCAACGTCCCGGCTGCCTCGCGCGTGCACGACACGCTGTCTTTCTTCACATGGTGCCGTGGTTGGGGAATGATGCCACACATGTTACCATGTTTTGCCCATGAGCCTATCTGCTCTCAGTTGGTCTTGCCTCCCCGCTGGTTTCGCCTGGCCGACGTGTTTTAGGATGGAGCTCTTGCTAAGTGAATTTCGCACTTCGTCGTGTTACTTCCTCGGTACGAATCCAGCCTGGTCCGGCCCAATCTGGTTTGAAGATGTTTTTCCCCATATCCTCAGATGGGGTTATTGTTATTACTTGGACGCCTCCTACTCCCTCTTCTCCTCCCCTCCTCTCGGACTTACTCATACTCAGACTTACGCATACCCAGACTTACTCATACACAGACTTCCTCACACTCAGACGTACTCATACACACTCATACTCAGACCTACTCCTACTCAGACTTACTCATACCCAGACGTACACATACACAGACTTACTCATGCACATGTTTACTTATACCCATACTTACTCATACCCAGACGTACTCATACACAGTCTCACTCATACACATACTTACTCATACTCAGACTTTCTCATACCCAGACGTACTCATACACAGACTTACTCATAATCAGACCTACACATACTCAGACCTTTTCATAGTCTGAGTTACTCAACACACGGCAGATTTTTAGGATGTCTCAGGCGGGGCGCTGGCTTCAGCACCCCTAAGGGGAGCCGCCAGGGGGTAGATCACGGGCCCGATCGCGGCCAGTTTGTGGGGATGTCTCAGGCGGTGTGCCTGTTTCGGTGCCCAACATCGTCTGCGTCTACAGCAGATTTAAATGATGTCGTCGTCGGGGCGCTAGTTTCAGCACTCCTAAGGGGAGCCGCCAGGTGGTATATCACGGACCCGATCGCGGCCAGTTTGTGGGGATGTCTCAGGCGGTTTGCTTTTTTCGGTGCCCAACATCGTTTGCGTTTACAGCAGATTTGAAGATGTCTTCGTCGGGGCGGTGGTTTCAGCACTCCTAAAGGGGAGCCGCTAGGGGGTATATCACGGGCCCGTTCGCGGCAAGTTTGTGGGGATGCCTGTTTCGGTGCCCAACATCGTTTGCGATTACAGCAGATTTGGAGGATGTCTCCGTCGGGGCGTTGGTTTCAGCACTCGTAAAGCGATCCGCCAGGGGGTATATCACGGGCCCGTTCGCGGCCAGTTTGTGGTGATGTCTCAGGCTGTTTGCTTGTTTCGGTGCCCAACATCGTCTGCGTTTACAGCAGATTTGAAGGACGTCACAGTCGGGGCGCTGGTTTCAGCACTCCCCAGGGGAGCCGCCAGGGGGTAGATCACGGGCCCGTTCGCGGCCAGTTTGTGGGGATGTCTTAGGCGGTTTGCCTGTTTCGGTGCCCAACATCGTCTGCGTCTACAGCAGATTTGAAGATGTCTTCGTCGGGGCGCTGGCTTCGGCACTCCTGAGGGGAGCCGCCACGGGGTATATCACGGGCCCGTTCTCGGCCAGTTCGTGGTGATGTTCAAGCGGTTTGCTTGTTTCGGTGCCCAACATCGTCTGCGACTACAGCAGATTTGGAGGATGTCTCAGGCGCGGCTCTGGTTTCAGCAGTCCCAAGTCGGGACCCGCAAATTGCTGTTCCCTTGGGTCGTGCTCTGGCACGATGGGGCTGTCGCCCACATGGGCGCGCTCGTATAGTCAGACACTCATGTACAGACGCTCACGACGGCATAATTTCAACATGATATGCACATATGGGGAGCTCCACACAGTGAGTAATTTCGTTCCGTTGTTTGGCTAAGACAGGTTTCGTATATCCTCAAAGCCTTATCGTAGTTTCTTGTCCGGGCCCCCGACGTAGCGTTTTTCCCTGAACACCGAAAATTGTAAAAAAGGTTCCAGAAGGTGTTTCGAGTTTCGGGGATGTGCAGCAATGTGTTGCTCGCGTGCGTTGCAGTGCCCACGTGCCGTGTCGCGCATGGTGTTTGGAGCGCAACAGGGTTGCAGCCTCATGCCGTGCCGTGCTCACGTGCTGTGCCACGTGCTGTATCGCTCATGTCGCGGGCCGCGTGCTGTGCCATGCCGCGTTCCGTACCAACCCCGCGTGGCGTGCCTTGCGGCGCAGGGTTTCTGGAATGCGGTGGAAGTTGTCGCCTGCGTGCCGTGCAGGCGTACCGTAAAGCACGTGCCGTGCAGCGCCAGTTTCTGCATTGCGAGAGCTCGAGCTCCCTGAACTTGCGTTCCGTTCCAGTTGTGGTTTGCCAAATCTGTGCTTTGGAATGCCAGATCGTGTTGCCATTGCGCCTTGCCGGGCCTTGCCGTGCCCGCGTTCTGTGCCGCGCCTTGCTTGGATTTGGGTGTGCGAAAAGTTGCAGTGGAGTGCCGTGTCCGCGTGCCGTGTTGTGCTGCGTTTATACTCCTGAATGCAATGCTGGCCAGCTTGGGCCAAAGCCAGTGGGTTTCTAGAAATAAATGTTGTGCGCCCTTTGTGGAGCAAAACACATGTATGTTGTGCAATGTAGTTCGAATAATTCGGGGTTGACGACTCCACTGCCCGCGCAAGCATCCAACCCACCCACCGACAATTGGTTTTGCAAAACCCAGGCGGCGGCGACTGCGATGAGTGTTTGATATTGGCTGCATTTTTGCGGGCGTGCTCGAGCGCGCATGCTCGCGCGCACAGCGCTAGTTCGTTTGGCGCGATTGGCGCGGCCGCGGTGGCGGTGGCCGCCGAGAATTTCCCACCAGGCATGTCGGCGCGAGTCGGTAGCTTGGGCGGGCGCGGCACCGTGGCGCCGGGCAGCGGTGACAGTTGCAATTCTCGTCGCGGCGGCGACGATGACGACGGCAAGGCCATTGACGGCGCCGACGCGAATGACGGCAAGGCCAACGACGGCGCCAATACCGCCGATGGCGGTAACGGCTTATTCGCGTTGGCACCGAAGGTTTGGGAAGGAGATCGACGCGCGCGCGGTGGATGCGCGCGAGTGGTTCGCATGGTGTTATTCGACAAGGACCGGGCCCCCCCCCCCACACACACACACACACCAGTACGTGCGCAAGGGCGCTCGAAATGCTGCGTCATGCGGCGCGACTGGCCCGTTGCGTCGATCCGGGTGTCTTCAGAATTCGCCTGCAGAATTCGAATGCACGCGCGTTTTCCCCCGGCGCGCTTAGTGGGATGATGGTTTCCTTCTCTGCCGTGTCGCGCCAGCGCCTCCTGCCACTCGCACCTCCCTCTTCCCCTCCTTCCTTTCCTCTCCTCCTCTTCCTCGCCTCGCCCGCGCTCAGCGCATGCGCGGCGTGCGTGGGGCGCGCGTTCTACATGCAGCCGCGCGCATGCAGACGCGCAAAACACACGCGCGCTCAACATTCGCTGGGCGTCGTAGGCGCGGCAGGCGCACTGCGCCACGCACCATAGACGCATGCGCGCGGACGCCCAGGGCATCGCAGCCGCGGTAACATTCTCGACGCCGCAGTGGGTGCCCTGGGAGGAGGGGGCGCCGTGCGCGGCAGGCTCGCAGGGCGCGGCAGGCGCGGCGCGTCCTCGACGCCACAAGTGGCGCTCCCGGGGGTGGGGGCGCTATGCGTTGCAGGCTCGCAGGGCGCGGCAGGCGCGGCACTTCCTCGTCGCCGCAGGCGGTGCGCTGAGGGTGGGGGCGCCATGCGCTGCAGGCTCGCGGGGCTTGGCAGGCGCGGCGTTTCCTCGACGCGGCAGGGGGTGCGCCGGCAGCAGGCCCGCAGGGCGTGGCAGGCGCGGCTCGTGCTCGACGCCGCCGGGGGTGCGCTGGCGGGGGTGGTGGTGGGGGGGGGGCGTTATGCGCTGCAGGCGCGGCATCCCCTCGGCGCGATGATTTGCGGACTGGCAGGTCGTGGCAGACGCGGCATTTCTTCGACGCCACAGGGGGCGCGTTGGGGGTGGGGGCGCCATGCGTTGCAGGCCCGCATGCCGTGGCTGGCGCTTCGGAGGGCCCATGTGTAATGGGCGCTCGGACTGGGGCGTCGCGCGCTTCGCAGGGCGCGGTGGCAGGCGCGGCATTTCCACAGCGCGCAGGCGGCGCGCTGGGGGCGGGGGCGCTATGCGCTGCAGGCTCGCAGGGCGTGGCAGGCGCGGCGCTTGCTCGACGCCGCAGGGGGTGCGCCGGGGGCGGGGGCGTGATGCGTTGCGGGCTCGCAGGGCGCGGCAGGCGCGGCATGTCCTCGACGCCGCAGGGGTCGCGCCCGGTGCGGGGGCGCTATGCGCTGCGGGCTCGCAGGGCGCGGCAGACGCGGCATTCCCTCGGCGCGCAGGTTGTTCACTGGGGGTGGGGGCGCCATGCGTTGCAGGGTCTCAGAGGGCGCGAATTGTGTGATTGAGGCAATTCTCTTCGTTTTCTGTCGAAGCGCCCAGTCGCGCAGCGCGGCAGGCGCGGCACTTTCCAATTTCATTCCGCAGCCCCAGGAGCTCTCGACTTTTCCTG